CACTTCTTCCAGGGTGAGTAGTCTCCAAGAAAGAATAGACCATTTAGGACTGTTAATGTAAATGACAAGATACCTGTGATTTAAGTTAAGCAGAATTAGCTAGTAATGGGTCCACTGTTAAGTAATGAGGAGGTATTCAGGCCATTGTGACTTGGAAGGCAGAGGGTTAGTTTTAGTTCTTTCATGGGCCAGGCCTAGGGATGGTGTCCCCTCCTCTGGAATGCCCTTCAAATCCTTTCTGTCAGCTCTCTTCCAGGAAGCTTTCCCTGACTCTCAGTTCCTCACGAGCATCTTCCCTTCTGAACTTCATGGTTATTTTATATTCTGTACCACAAGCATTAGCACTTTATTGTGGTTGATATGCTATACTGATATTTGATGTTTGGTAGTTTAGTCTTACTCTGTGGGCTATAACTAAACGTTTTTGAATGTTTATTTTACCTTTGTTAGCACTGGATTTTTTTCTGTAAGAAATCTATGAGTGAGAACTCCCTAACTAAACCTCTTCTTAATATATTGCATGAAGATGTTCTTGGATTCTGTGATGTGTTAAAAAATATATGTAGATTGATTCTGCTGCAATTTACAATTTTAAGTTACTTTTTCAGCGTGGATTCCTATCCAGTGACTTCTAAGTAAGAATTATTCTCCACATATATAATATATTTTAAAATACAATCTCAATCAATTTCACATGTGATCCTTGATGCAAAGTGATGGTTTCAAATTACCTGAAATTGTAAAGTATATCCAGATTCTATTGAAAACACACCTCACAATGTATGAATTTTCTAATCTAAATGTGATATACTTCCTCTTTAATTTTCACTGGATGCCTTTAATTTACTTTTTCTAATCATTTTTAATGAAGATTTAAAAATATATTAAAATTCTGAGTGATCTTATCTGTAGATTAAAGATGATTGAGTTTTTTTAATCAATGAGTAAAGTAATTGAAACACAAATTTGCACAATCCAGATTATCACAGTTCAGATCACTTATGTTAACTAAAATATATTCTTTTCACAGAAATGATGGAACAAGACCCAAAATGACACCGTATGTCATTTCCCTTTACCTTTTTTTTAATAGGTTGTGGGTACTTTTGGGGAGAAGTCATTTCCTCATTGGAGTAAATTTCAAATTATTTTACTGAAAGAATGAAATAACACTTTTTTTCATGCCCAGGAAAAATGTTTAATGCTGTTTGGTGCTCAGTCACAGTAGTTCATGATTTGGTTTCCTTCTTTGTATTGTGTTTGTTTAAATTATAGAACCCATTTTGTTTTATGTGTTTTTAACTGTTCCTTACCTTACATTTTTATAGAATCAGGTGTGGAGGTATAAATAAGAATAA